TGCATATTATATAGAAGTATAGATATATAGGTAGGCATATATATATATATATATATATATATATATATTAATATATATATATATATATATTAATATATATATATATATTTATATATAGATCATAAGATATATTATATATATAAATATATAAATATATATATACATATTATACATGGATATACTATATGTACATAGAAATAATATATATATATTCATAAATGTATCATATTTATATACTAATGGTTTCGGAATAAAAATAATGACAAGTATATTGTACATTACACCGAGCAGTATCACGAACGCTGAACACGCTTCACCGACTCGACCGCAGCTTTTGGAGTGTCACACAGTCGATGGCAACCAATAAAATATATGAGGTCATTAAAGGCCCGATGTGCTCGGCTGCAAATCATGCATCCCATGAGCATTAAATGATGAGAATTGAATGTACATATAGGCTTCATCGTAAAATAGCCCGCAATATACCGGCTACCAGAAGCTGTACCACCAACCTCCAGGCTTTTATCCTTTAATTAAAGACCTGAGACTACAGCGTCACATTGTGTATTAAAAGTATCAACAAACCCACTCGCTATCACTCCCATTCTAGTCACATGCTAAAACAGGTCCCACCTTCGTACAGGGCAACCCCTAACTCTTGCACATGGATCACTCCACCTTCTTGTCTTCAGCGAGAGCGCTCTGCATCATCTTCTTGCCTGTCCTCTTAGCAAGCCACTTGGCGAAGATGGGCACGTACTGGCTCGCATAAACAATTTTTTTTCCAACGGTCCGGCTATCCAAACCACGTCCACCCCATTCTGCACACCTGCGAGGATACGCTCACACGCAAACTCCACGGACAGGCCACCTTCTATGTTGGGGTCCGATTGGCCGAAGGAACTGTCGGCATTCTCCGTAACCGCATTTCGCGCGACATTGGTCTGTGAGACCAATCGGGGTGTGCATGCAATGGAATATAGTACCAGGAAGTATGTGAGTCACAGAAGTACAGATGTAGTGGGTGACTTCGGACGCACCGGTGTGACATGGCTACTGTTAGTCACTGAATGTCGAGAAACGTATAGGTGCACGTAAAGGGATTGGCGTGCTATGCCATTACAAAGGCATGTATCCAGAATTTATATGTA